CGTACTCTTAACCACGGTGTTGTAGATCCGTGTACGAGACTGCACCGAGATCGAGTGTTGCGGTGAACATTTTTAAAATATTAAAATATTAAAATGGATCACAAAACGCATTGATCACAAACAATTTTTTCGTTCAAACGCTTTGTAACGTCAAAGTACCTGCAGTAACGTATCGTATCGTTGTACAAGTTGTGACTGCAATGCCATGCGATATTTCGTTGCAGTAACGTATCGTATTTGGCGTAGAGAAAGTGGCATCCCCATCGCCCAGCACTAGCTGCTGCAATAGCCATCCCCTGGCTTTAGTTGGCTGGGGTTTGGTCCTCCAGGTTGGGGGATTATCGTAGGGCTGACAAACCTACCTAAGTAAAACTCTTATATTATGACATCACAAATATCGAAGCCTCGGACAAGATATTATGGATTAAAGACTGGAAAATGGAAACGAAACACTGGATTAAAAATAGCAACCTGGAATGTAACAAGCCTGTTTAGAACTGGTGCATGTCAAAATTTAGCTGACGTGTTGAGCACATATAAGATAGACGTTGTAGCAATACAGGAAATACGATGGCTAGACGTTAGACAAATTGAAGTAGGCGAATACATAATATACTACTCTGGATCACAGAGTTCTCACCATTTTGGAAGTGGCTTCGCAGTGCATAGAAAGTTAGTGCCACACGTCATAGAGTTTAGACCAATTTCAGATAGACTGTCGTTACTTATGCTAGACATGAAGCCAATAAACGTATGTATAGTAAACGCACACAATTCAACGGAAGTTAGCAATCAAAATAGAAAAGATGAATTTTATGATGAATTGACGAAAATATATGAGGGAATATGGAAAAATTAATTAAAAACAGTGATGGGTTATATGAATGCAAAATGTGGTAGAGAATCACAATTATCCCCACGATTGAAAGAGAAAGCCTGCACGAGTAGTGCAATGATAATGGGTTGAGACTAGTGTCGTTTGCAACATCCACTGGCATGAAAATAAGCAGTATTACATTTCCCCATAAGGACATACATAAAGCAACATGAAAATCACCAGATAACAGAACGAGAAACCAAATCGACCATGTATTAATCAAACGCAGATTTAAGAGTAGTATAATAGATGTCAGAAGTTATAGGGGTAATCAATGTTGGGAATAGATAATGCGAAATTTATCTAGATAATGATGAAAGATAATATGTCCAAATTCTTCTAGATAAAGATAATTGATAAAAAAAATTAAAATATCTAGATAATGATAAAAGATAATTTCATTTTTATCTCGATAAAAAAAAAGATATTTTCAAAAAATGTTATTTTTTGGTCAATATTTCATATTCTAATAATATCTATGAAGACTCAATTATAATCAGGGGCGTATTTAGAAATGTCTTATTGGGGGGGGGGGGTTTACAAACAAAAAATTCAAAGTATACATAGTTATAACTTTTCCATTTCAACAAAACTGTCGTTATTCATAATCAAATAATCAAAATACAAGTGTTTGATTGAAACATAAACTTGTATTACACAAATTTATAATAAAACATATTTTCAAATATAATTTTTGTAATTACAATAACTAAAGACGTCTGGGGTGTTTATTAGCATCTGTATCAGCTACTTCTTCAGGTTTTATAATTATTTCAGGGTGTATATTAAGGATTATTCAGAGTGTATACAATGGTAATCCGTTTAATCGATGGTATTATATTATCATGATATATTGATACTCCAGTATTTCACCGTGTGCCTGAGCGTGAAAAAGGGCCTAAAACAATAAATAAAGTATAAAATACGGTGAATGGGGGGGGGGGCACGGGCTCCATGAGCCCACCTCTTAAATACGTCTCTGATTATAATCATTATTATCAATAGGTACCTAGGTGTTTAATGTTTATTGTAGTAATGTAGTGTACCATTAAGAAATATTTATAAATAATATACAATATTTAATGACAGTTAATCACTAAAATGTAAAAGAAAAAAAAAAAAAATGGCACGAAGCAGTTATCATACCACTACATAAAAAAGGGCATAAAGTGTGACAACTACAGGGGTATCTTCCTCCTGAATACAGTATACTAAATATTTTCCAAAATTCTACTGAAATGCCTGATGCCATACGTAGACGAAAATATAGGTAGCTACCAATGCGGTTTTAGAAAAGAAAAATCGACAATAGACCAACTGTCAATCATAGCACAAATCATTGAAAAAAGGTATGAATACAGACAGAACGTGTGGCAGTTGTTCATAGATTTTAAAAAAGCGTATGACAGCGTACATAGAGAAAGTCTATATAACATTATGCATGAATTTGGGTTTCCTAGAAAACTGATTGGAATAGTAAAACTCTGTATAGAGAACACACAGTACACAGTGAGAGTAGACAATACAATGTCTTTACTGTAGACACAGGATTGAAACAAGGGGATGCTTTGTCCCCAATTCTATTTAACCTGGTACTGGAAAAAGTTGTAAGAGAATTACAGTGCCTAAGAAGCAATCAAGTAACAAACAACGACAATGGCCTACGTATACTCGGTTTTGTAGATGACCTGGATATAATAGAAAACTCGTTTATAGAAATAGCAAATGCATCGAGGGAACTGGAAAAAGCCGCGGAAAAAGTCGGTCTAACAATAAACACAAACAAGACTAAACTAATGGAACTAAAAGATAGTGACATAGACCCACAGCAAATTGAAGGACTAACGTTTGAAAAAGTAGAAGAATTCAAGTATCTAGGGGCAACTCTGAACATAAAGAACGATTGTTCTAAAGAAATAAATATACGTATAAATAAAATGGAAAAAACCTTCTACGCATTACTGAAATTTCTTAACTCAAAAACGCTCTCGAGAAGATCTAAAATGAGATTGTATGTGTCAATTATAAGACCCACATTGACCTACGGATGTGAAGCTTGGACTAGAACGGTGACGACGGAAAGGAGGTTAAGAATTCTTGAAAACAGGATATGGCGAAAAATATGTGGCCCTGTGTTTGATACGAATATGAGATGTTGGCGAAGAAGATTCAATAGAGAACTACAGGAAATGATGAATCTGGCTCCAGTTACTAATTTCATCAATGGTCAAAGGATCCAATGGCTAGGTCATATCCTAAGAAGAGAAGAAAACTACCATGTACGGGTTGCGTTCGAGTGGAAACCTAAGAGAAAACGACTAAAGGGATGTCCCAGGAAGAGGTGGATTGATGGAGTGGCGGAAGACCTAAAGGAAATGGGCATAGAAGATTGACATAAAATTGCTCAAGACAGAGAAAAGTGGCGGGATATTGTAGTGACGGCTAAAATTCTTAGAGAGTAGATTGGACAAAAGAAAAGAGAAGAAGAAAACGCGTATCGTATCGTTGTACAAGTCGTGACTGCAATGTTTTGCTATATTTCGTTGCAGTTGACGATCTCGCGGCAATGTTTTCATAAATCATCATGATGACGTATCGATAACGTACAGTTCTTTCGTTTGACAACAACCGTTCGAAAAAACGAGAAAAATTAAACAAAAAACAATAATGCACGGCAATTAGCACATTTTCCACAATTCCGGTACACTTCCGTTCAAGATGTACAACTTAGTACCTACTTACAAGTGTGATCGAATCAAGAGTTTATATTATGTACACTATTAATGTAGGGGCGTATTAAAGAAGGGATATGGGGGTCATATCCCTCCATAGGCCTTTTTAAAATTGTATAAAATAGTGTCCTTAATGTAAGGAAATTATAAAGAAACAAAAATGTTGATATATACAAATACATATAAATATATATTTTATTATTTATATTTAAATTTGCAGGTTAGGTTAGAAATTTTCCTCCCATAATAATATGTTTGAAACTGATCCCCCCCCCCATACAAAAGTTATGTATACGTCACTGTATAAATGTTAAAGCGTTTTTTGTGTATTTGACGGATATGCCAAGTTCAAAAATACAACGCATGTTGAAATTCACTACACAGACTACGTCTAAAACAGTCTACTTGAGAGACTTCAAACACATGGATGTTTATTAAACACAGATTTCATCTTTAATGATCTAAAACATGATTATTCTGATTATTATATATATATATATATATATATATATATATAATCTTATGCATTAAACCGAATCTTATTATTTCAGACATTATATTTAACCTTATTATGGTACTACATATTACTGTATAAATTATCGTCCAAGTTATTATTACCTAACTGTAATCGAATCTATAAGACGTCAATTTGAATAAATAATCATGAAAAATACTGATAGGATTATGTAGGGCTGACGGGAAATTGTGTGCGGCTGTGATAAGCTGTCGGATGGTCGTCATAAGAGTATCCAAAACTACAAAAGCATAAAGAAAAAAATTAAACAAAGGGTGTACCATTAAATAGAAATATTTCCAATTAGTTTGGTATTTATCTTACACGTGTAAAAGTTACTCGTGTATACGCAGATAAGATAGCAGAACCGTATGTCCAGACGCACATTTTGTCTGTTAAAATTAATCACTCTTGGGATTATACGTATATGACTATACGACTATACAAGTTTATACATAGGTTAAATAAACTTGATAAAATGAAAAATAATCTTTTTACTAGAATTAATTAAAATTACCATTCTCCCCAACACACTAATTAAAAAATAGGTAGTTCCCTTTGCTGCTTATGAAAGCCCATTGGTACATTCATTTATAACAGTGTTTCCCAACCTTTTTACCACCACGGACTACTTCGACAATATTTTATAGGTCACGGACCACCTCAATTTTACATAAACTAGGAAGACCTTTTTTTATTTGCTCATTAACAAGAATTTATAATTTCTTTATAAGAGGCTTTTAATAATGCTTATAATTGATTTTATTTTATTAAAGTTAAAAATAATTAAAAATTTAATACAAACTAATATTCTAAAAAAAATTACATTACATTATTATAGTTATTTAAGGTAAATTACAAAAATTATAAAAACAATTTAATGCGATTTTTGTGCTTGCATTTCGTTCACTAACAAAGATATTCTTGGGTTGATATTGCTCAAAGCTACACGCAAGTCTTTAGTGGGGTCCAACCGATTTCTCTGTTTATTTTTAATGTAGAGTAGTCCAGAAAATCCTTGTTCGCACAAATAAGTTGTCGAAAACATGACTAAATATCTTAATGCGATTTCTCGAAGTTTAGGGTACGCAATCGTTTTTTTACAGCAAAACTCTTCGATATTCATGCCAGATTCAAATGTATCCTTACAGTTTCGATCGTTTTGTAACTCTATCAAATTTTCCTGGTTATTATCAGATACCTCATTGATTTTAATGATAAAAGGGTTTCGAATCATACTTCGTATACCATTTGTTTCCAAATCATTATATTCTGGAAAATATCGATTAAACTCATTTTTAAGTTTTTTCAAATGTTGTAAAACGTTTTGCTGTACCTCATTTACGAGGTCAGCATATTTTTCGTTATCAATCAAGCTTTTCAGTGTTTGAAACGCTGAATAATTATTCATCTCAACTTTACTTATCCACAAATAAATTTTACACATAAACGCTCAAAGTTTATCTTCAAATATGAATATATTTGCAGAGCCTTCCAGTTTATTATTTCCTGAGCCTTTTAATTGCAAATTAAGCTTGTTTAAATGTTCGAAGATATCGACAAGATAAGCCAGGTATATTTCAAACTTATGATCACAGATACATTTCAATAAATTATCATTTTTTTTCTCAATTAAAAACATTACCACCTCCTCCTTTAGTGAAAATAACCGTGCCAACATGTTACCTTTCGATAGCCATAGGACTTCGGTATGAAAAAGTAAAGTTTCATATTCAGAGTCCAAGTCCGAGCATATTTTTTTAAAAATGCGAGTATTTAGTGCACTAGTTTTGATGGTGTTTACCAACTTTATGACCTGTTTCAAAGTATATTGGAGTTCTTCAGCTAATGTTTTTGATGCTAATGCTTGTCGATGAATAATACAATGTGTTGTCAATACTTTACGGTTTTTTTCTTTCACCAACGTTGCTAGGCCTGAGCGTGATCCCAACATAGCTGAAGCACCATCCGTATAAAAACCTGCTAACTTTTCCCACATAATGTCGTGCTTTTCAAAATAATTATTTATTATCTTCAGTATATCACTTCCTTTTGATGTAGTACTCAATTCTTGTAACAATAAAAGCTCTTCTTTTATTAAATTGTCGTTGTCCAAAAATCGAACAAAAACCAATAACTGACAACATTGTGAAATATCAGTACATCACTCTGCAATGCGTAAAAAGGTGAATTTTTTATTTTTACTAGTAATTGTTCTTCAATATCGAAAGACATTTTATCAATACGAGCTTTCACAGTATTATTCGATAATGGAATTTCTTGAATTTTCTTTTTAGCTTCCGCACCTAAAATTTCTTCTACGGCAGTTAATAAACAAGGCTTTAATAAATTTTCACCAATTGTGTGTGGTTTCTTTGATTTTGCGATTAATTAAAAAAAAATTTTAAATGACGCAGATAGAACTTTTTCGTTTGCCTCAAATCTTGAACCACTTGTTCCTAGTTTCATTTTTTTCAAAATTTTCTGATTTACCCATGAAAAACTCTGGATCACTAAATTTAGAATGAACACTTTTTAAATGCCGTTCTAACTTGGCGGGTTTCAACGCATCATTACTGAGAACGGTGACACATATTACACACTGTGGTCGAATTTCACGATTAGTTTCGATTGCGATAAATCCAAATTTTATGTATCCATCGCCATACTTTTTTTTCGAAGCCATATTTCGACAATCTAGCACACGAAAAATTAAAAAGAACACAAACGTTGACTACGGAATACAGGTACGGAGACACTAACAACAAAAACCAGCAATATTATATTCAACTTTGAACATAATCTGTTATCAGTTGAAATAATAACATGGGTTTCACTACGTAATATAAATTTATAAAAATATTTTTACATTTTGTAAGTATGGCTCGCGGACCACCAGTGGTCCGTGGACCATAGGTTGGGAACCTATGATTTATAATGCTCGTTGTTGCTTCTAAAGTGTCTGGAGACCGTTTTTTTTATTTTTGCTGCTTCCGAATCATGTGAGTGCTTATTTATAATCTTTAACACCTGATATTAATTTAAAAAAAAAGTAATTAGGTAATAATTCTTTTATATAAATATATGTAATATATTTATATAAATATTGGATACTTTTTATTATTTTCTAATTGCTATTGTTTATAATATAAATCTTATATTAATTTAAATAATTCTTAGTATTAGCTCAGATGTTTCGGCCGATGTATGAATTCTACAAAATTTGTATTTAATACAATTATTTTTATACCGACATCTCCAAATTTATTTTGATCAACACAATTGTATGAATTAAATATACACATATACATATAGCCATCATGTGTAAAAATTTCTTGTCCACGAATACTAATGCTCTGTATTTGGTCCATTGTCGTTAGCAACTGATTTGTGGTTTAAACTTCGTAACGATTTTGATTACAAACATAAGTGGGTTTAGATATACATATACCTAAAACCGCTTATAAATATAATTATAAATCGTTACGAATAGTTATTATAGTTAAGTATAGTATCTCTATAATACACACCATGATACAATAATATATTATATATATATATATATATATATATATATGCATTTTTTTTTGCTTCATTATTTTTATAACTTTGTATAGCAGTGGTTTTTAACCTGTGGTCCGTAGCCCTCTAGCGGTCCGCGATACTCAAGTCGGGGGTCCACGGTAGCCCTAACACATAACATATGTACATCTATACGTGACATGAGTGCATTATTATAATATTGTTTGATTAATATTATTATTATTTTTTTTCATTTATTTTTATTATATAATAGATACATTTTATCATTATACGATGTTATAAAACTTGTGTCCTAACTATTGTATTAAGCTAATAAAAATTAAATTTTAAGATTATTAAAAAAATAAATGAAAACTAAAATAATTAAATTTAAGTTAACTGAAAAATTAAGTGAAATAAAAAGAATTATAAATATGTATGTTTTGTTATGTCTATTAATGTAATTTATTATGTAAAATAATTATTATAATTTTAATTTTAATAACATAAGATGTTTTGTAAAAAAAAAGTATTCCAAAAAAAATTAGTCAAATTAGTTAAAATAAAAAAAGGGGGTCCGTGATTTACAAAAAGCTAAGAACCGCTGTTGTATAGTATAATGTATTTATTTTCATATATTTTAGTATATCACTTATTATAATAATATGTTACTATTATATTAATGTTATAATATGTTCATGCAGGTGGCATTAATTTAATTTAAATACGCCAAAACGGCCACGGCAAGATGTCCTAGACCGGAATCATTTCGGTTTTTTGGTATACCGTTACAAACCGGTATTGAAATCAAAACCGTAATACTGAAAATTATTTTCAATACCGTCAGCCCTTGGTTTATGTTGCGTTAACTCGTATAGTGCACTATATCAGAAAATTATACCTACGTGACACGTAATACAGTATGTGCTGCTTTTCGGCCGAACGCTGCAGTGTTGCATGCAAATGCGTATTTAGCGTAGTCGAACGTTATATAGTTCAAAGTCTGTTCCGCATTAATATTAGACAATTACTATTATTCGGGTTCCATTCTGGCGGTCATTGCTGCGCGCGGTTGCAATTTAAAAACGGGTTTAGATAATACCTTGCGCGTCCTTCTGCGCGTTTAGGGGAACTCATTACATACAATAATACACATACCAGCGTTTTCTAAATACTAAAAAAATCAACTACAGTTTAAACACAATTAGACTGGAGCATTTAAATTCGAAATATATCAAATGCATTCCTCCGGATTTTGTATTGCACTGTACTGTACACAACGCGCGCTGTGTTTTACATTCGAATCGTTTGGTGTAGTCGAAACCGATAAGTAGGATATTTTTGGTGTAACGTCACTACTCTATACAAAAATTAAAATCGAGGAACGTCATTCAGTTTCCAGACTGTCGATGCTACGACCGTGCTGGAAAATACTGCTCACATTTTTCGGGATTCGTCCGTTGCGATGGTTACCAACCTTCCTCCAGTTGCGGAAAATCGTCCGAGTCACCTGCCAAATTCGCTCTCTACGGAGGAGACCATCCGGCAACTATAAAATATGCTGTGTATACAATGACCTCCAACATTTCCGCAAACCAACCTCGAACAAACATGTCATCCAAAACAACAACACTAAATATAGTAGATATCAGTAAAATAACGGGTAATTACGGTGGGCACCCCGTAGTTGCTTTAAACAAAAAACTACTCATGTTCTGTTAAAAAATACCAATGTGAATTGGTAAAATAACAGATAAACAGTTAACAGACACTTTTTTCACACCTCTTAATAGATTTTCAACCTCATAACGATATGTAAAATAATATCCCCGACAAAAATAGTGAAGAAACCTTCTCTTCTCCTCTACTAATTTACCATATTGCCTCTAAACAGTTCTCTCCGAGTGAAATCCAATTAAATATTTTGTTTTTTTAAAAATCACGCAGGAAGGATCAAATTATTGCTGAGGTAACTCATTGATTCTCTAAAAAATCACTTATTCACCTAACCCATATTCTAAATTCCATACTAATATTTCATAGTATGAAATTCATACTTCCTTCTTCAATGGAAAATTTTAGTAACAATATTATTCTTGAAAACTGGCAAACCTCTAGATCAGTGGTTCCCATATGTGCACCGCGGTGTCCTAGAGGCACCACGACCACTTTCTAAAAGCATCGCGGTCTACGGTTCATAACAAATAGTTGAAAATGTATAAAATTGTTTTTCCTTATTGTTTTCGTAAAATTTTTTTAGCAAATAGTGTAATATTTTCTATTGTATAATCGGATATTCTTATTTTAACCTTATAATATTTTTGTATAATAATTATAATCATAATAATAATAATTTTTACTTATCTATTTTTTGAGTTTAAAAATGCATGAATTTATTACTAAGTTAAATTTTAATAAAATTAATAAAATCGGTTATCAATAGATTCTTTTTTTTTTATTCTGTCTTTAATATTATTCACAGCCAGGGTAGTGGTTAAATTGGGCCCAAAAAAAGGCAACGCGGAAAAAAAAGTTTGGGAACCGCTGCTTTAGACATTCCATTTTCCTATCACCCAATAAGACACCGATCTTTTTTTTGCCAAATTATATGAAAAATTAATAATCAGACGTAAGTCGAAGTACATTTTAATGATAAAAAAAAATAATCTCTCTTCCGTAATAAAGACTCCACCTTTCATCAAGTTTGTCGCCTAACCGATGCTATTGCTTACTCTATTGAAAACAATTTTACTTTTCTACCGTTCTGCTAAACGTTGCTCAAGTCTTTAATGTAGTCTGACACTCTGGGCTTCTGTATACATTAAAAAAAATCCCATTCCTAATTTTTATTTTTCAAAAAACAGTATTTAGAAAACCGTAGATTGTAACTTAAATATGTTCTGAATACTCAAACCTAGTATCTATCCTGGCCGGCGTACCCAAGTGGCAAAAAAATCAAATATTTACAAAATGCAAACAGTCCAATCCGTGTAATTACAAACAACGCCGAAGTGGCCAAATCTTCTTATGTGACAGCGAAAACCACTCAAATCTACTTAACGGTGCACTTAATTTAGTAAACAAACCTGGAATTCAGTCGGAGCGGAAGAGGCATTGGTGTTGCGATGTTTTTTTTAATTACAACAAAAAAGAAAAAGAAAAAAAGAATAATATATTTATGTATTTAAAATGGGAACAAGTTTTTACAGAGTCTGAGTGTTACCGTTGAGAAGTTACCCTCGTCGAGCGTCCATGTTCCTTTATTATTTCTGTTCGAACATATGATTGAATGTGGAAAAAAATATCGTTTTGCTGTGCCGTTTATTGACACAAATGTTTGAACAATCAGAAGTGTGCCATTCAATTTCAACATCGATATTATTGGTACACTTTTCAGTTGTTCAATTACATCCGGTATTCGTTGCAATTTTTATCGCAGATCTTTTAGTCCGTTACATTATTGAACGAATGTATCGTGATATTCCATGTTTTTGTGAATCCAAATTTGTGTTTTGACATTTTAATTGATATTTCTTTCGATCACGATCGTTACCACTCAGAAACACTTTAAGCGTTTTTGATAATGTATTATATTTTACGCGTGTACTAAGCGCGAAGTTGCGTTTTCCGGCACAAACGGTGAGCAGTATAATTTTACGGTTATGGTTCACCACACGCGTGCCGAAAACGTAAAACGATCTGTTTCAAGCAACTATTATGCACCTACAACAACGATGGTCGTTTCGTAAGCGTTTAGGAAATAATTTAATTTCTACTAATAGAAAAAAATCACAATTTTTTTTAATTTTTTTTTTTTTATAGGTCGTATATATTTCAAACGCGCGCGTTTTAATCGCCCTTGCACCGAACTCAGCACGAACAACGTTAAATCATTTATTTTTCCGCGAATGGTATTCATTACGAATACATTACGTTAAATATTTCAAATAAACATTAATGTACTTCTTCGTAAGTGGGTGTCTCGCTGAGGCGTGCGCGAGTTGTACAATTTCGTTGTGATGGTTAAATTTAATGTAGCGCATATGCGTTGTATTAGTTACGGTTTAGAAGCCAACGCTATAAAACATCGCAGTTAATACGTCACATTAATTCGTGAGCTCGAGATAAACACACATTTTTACTACGAAAGACTCGTAGCCGAAA